ACTGCCCAAGCTCATCTAACCGGTTACGAGGAGGCTATCGTTCGCACACTTGTACTATGGCTTAGCAAAAACTTGGCAGTAGGGGTTTTTCGGCAAAAAATGGATTTTTGAGGCCCTAGATGACATTTTCTGGAAAAACACAAAAAAGAAACCCCCCTCAAATCAAGTTTTCTACTTGAAATTGTGGAAGAATCAAGAAAAACACACTGTAAAATGCCCAAAATGCCCCTCCATGAAATCAGGTCATGAGGGTCCAAAAAGCTGCTAAATGAAAAACAGAAAGCTGAACTTCGTGAGGGATTTTCGGTACCAAGACGACATTTTCTGGAAAAACACAAAAAAGAAACCCCCCCTAAAATCACGTTTTCTAAGCGACCATGTCAAAAAAAGAAAATAAAACTGATGTAAAAGGTCTATAATACCCCTAGATAAGATTATGCAACAAAATTTCAAAATGAGTCCATAGGAGGCTCATTTCACTAAAGAAAAATGTTTGCTCGGAAACAACCATGCACGCAAGTGTAACTTACCTATTTGGATACGCTACAATGGTCCATGGCTTAAAAATACTACCGATGCAAAATCCGACCCCCCAACGGCCAAAAAGGCAAAAATGAACTAAAAATGAGAAATTTGAAAACTAAAATTAATAAATGATTTCAAATTACCATTTGGCCCTTGGCTACACTTCATACATGATTAATGAGACCCTATGGAAGAATAAAAATAGAATTCCCACACCCGATGCAAGCATAGTGAAGTAATGACTCGACATTTTCAATATTTTCATAATATTTCATGAAGTCAAGAATTACATAAAATGCAATATAAATGTCATTGGCCTCCAGCCTCATCTTATAAATGTCAAATACATTGAAAAGAGTGTACTTATGTACAGTTTACATATATGGAATCAAAGAATACAACTTTTGACATATGAGCTACTAATAGCATTTCATGCTAACATTTTCATGAAAATGATACTTCAAGTCTACGAAACTTCCATGGCATAGTGTGCATCCCAAATCAAGGTATCTGTACCTGAAAAATGTCCCCACTATATGGGTGAGTAACATAAAGTTACTCGTAGGAGATGACAAGCATCGACCTAGCATTTTACAATTATATCACCTTAAGGTGAAACATGTTAAAGGGGCTCATGCCACCTAACGTCTATGTCAGAGTGAGACTCAGGGAGCATCCTGAGCTACTCATGCAATTTAAAGTGAACAACGGCATACAAGTATATATTCTCAAATATACTAAACAATGTAAAATATGTTATACGACATACAAGCATACATTTCCAAGTATACTAAACCATATTAAGATAAGTCATGCAATGTCTAAGCATATTTACGCAAGTATGCATTTTATATGGAAATCTCGTAAATCAAGCATACGAACACAAGTATACTAAGCTAAAAGAGATACACTTAAAACAAGTATACATGGCCCAAGCATACTAAATAAAATTTAAACTCACGAAGCAAGTATACAAGTTCAAGTATACTAAATAGGAATCAAATATCCAAGGCAAGCATTAATTCTCAAGTTACAAGTAATCCATGATTAACAACTTGAAATTAAATGCGAAATCAATAATGAAAAAAAACTAGGACATGTGGTTGCTAGACCAAACAGGTATTTTTGGGTAATTACGACCCATAAGGTACCACCTAGTGCGCACTTATGACTTTGAAGACTCTTGTCTCCGTACTAGAGCCAAACCCTAGCCATCATATAAATTATGTCCTCACAAGCTTTCCAAAACCAATAAGTTCAAACTTATACAAATTCAAATGCAGGTTGCCACATTCCATGACCAAGTAAGGTTGAATCCACACAATTCATGTCCTAGAATTTAAGTCTAAATAGCATATGACATGTCATGTCCTCAATATGCAATTTATACACGAAGTAAGAATATTTTACAACAATTGAGCCATATTACCACCCTAAGCCACAAGTATTAAATAAGCTTCAATTCAGTAACTAACTTCCAAGGTAAATAATTGTAATATTCTAACAAGGTATATACCTACACAAGATATATTTAAACAAGATATTCAAAACAATGATATTACATATCATTCTAAGTCAAATTACCATCTTTAGAGATGACAAGTACTAATTCTACAATAAGTTAGTAGCATGCTCACAAGGTAATTAAACATATTACATTTCAAGTCAATTCCAAACAGGCTCAAATTAATATATGTTAAAGGTCTTAACATGGTCTTCACATATATTATACACAAAATCAATTTAAGCGACTACAACACTTAAAATAAAACTAATTAAGCTAATTAATTAATTTTTCTTTAGATTTTCAAACATATCCAAATGTCCTCAATTTAATATATGTTAAAGAACTCACCAAGGCCTATTTTAATATCACATTACAAGTTGATTTCATGTTTGATACAACTATGTAAATTAATCTTTCACAAAAGATAAATATTAAATAAATTTTGCAATTCTTATTTAAATGCCCCAAATTTAATATATGTTAACAAACATACCAAGGCCTAATTTACTAGCATGCCACAATTTAATTCTAAGAAAGATAAATCCATGTCAATTAAATCTTAATCATAGAAAATAATTAAATTAAATTCTAAAACTTGAACAAAGGCATGCTTACAAGTTATATATACTCATATAACAATCAATACAACATTAATATAAACCTAAGACATCCCCTACCTAATTTTGAGATGAACTCTCAAATCCCCACCGAATTGAAACTGCTTCGAATCCGACGATACTCATAGGTTATGTTGGGGACAACGCCATGATCATTAAACTACAAAGAGGACCTACCAAACTCCCAACTTAACCTCAAACCCGAACTCAAGATTTGGCCAAAAATGGGTTCTAATAAGGGGGAAAGGTAGAGCACGACGAGGCCTACGATAAACGTTAAGGCCGAAGACTTTTTACTAAGGAAATCAAGTGGAGGAGAAAAAATAATGAAGCAGCCCCTTGGGCATCCATGGTTGCTGGCCAAGAGAGAGGAGAGAAGGAGGAAAATCTGATATTTTCTCTTTAAGTCCCCTATTTATAGAAAAACCCTAAAAGTGCCCCGAAAGGGCCCCGTCGGGTCCGGAAAAGTGGAATTTGAGTAGACACACTTAAACGGTGAAACTCCATGAACAAAAAAGAACTAAAATGAGAAAATATGAACAACAGAAGAAACGACGTCAAAAATCGAGTCCCGAGCAGAGAGATATGCCCCGAACAAGTTTGATGGCAACTTGGGCCAGAAACCCTAAAATTGGAGAAAAACAACCAGAAGGAAATTGTAAGAGTACACGACTCGACAAAATGTGAAAATGAATCCCGTACGAGGATACAGGCTCAAAACAAGGCATTTTGCAATAACTTTCATTAATTGCACAATGGCCCCTCCAAAAAGTGTTAACTACAAAACTGCCCCAGAATGAAAATATCTTCCAAAAGATATTTTCTTAGATACCTCAAAAATAAAATATCTTCAAAAGATATTTATGAAAAACACCCCAAGAAAAGAAAAGTTTTTAAAGAACTGTGCATCCATGCCCCTATGGACACCGGGAGCAACCAGAGTACTTTTCTGCAAAAGTAAAGATACGTATTTCGTGGAAACCACTTAGAATGAAGATACATGAAGTCAAAAACCAACTCTGAACACAAGGAGTGAGGTTATTCCAACAAAGAAACCAATAGGGAAAAGACAAAATAGGAAAAAGGACAAAACAGGGAAAAGGACGAAAAGTGTATAGTGTCGAAAAACGAAAAATGTGAAAATGATTCGGTCCTCAAAGGAAGTTATCAATCCAAAGGAAAGAGTCTCAGAAACCATTTTCGAGCACTCGAGATGACACTAAGTGACGAGAAACAGAACTAAGAAAAGAAATTTCAACGAAAAAAATTCATCCGTAAAATTCTGAGGAAAAAAAGAAAGGAAGGAAATGACCGGGTCATTGCAATACTGCCTCCATTCTATATACAAAGGAATAAGGAGTTGCCCCAGTTGACACGCGAACTGAGGTGCGGTAAGCCATGAGTGCAAATGGCAGTTTCTCATGCTAATCCTGGTGTGTGTCAGTCATTTTCCTTAAGATTCGCTAGATGTTCTTATTGGCTGCTTCAACTACTCCATTTATCTGTGGGCGATATATGACTGAGTGATGTTTGGTGATTTTGAATTGATTGCACACAGATTCAATAAGATCATTCTTGAGATTTTTAGCATTGTCTGAGATAATCGCCTCGGGGAGCCTATATTGACATGTCACATTGCGCTTTAAGAAACGTTCCACTGTCTTTCTTGAAATTCTAGTGTAAAATGCAGCCTTGACCCACTTGGTGAAAGAGTCGATCACCACAAAGATGAAACGGTGTCCATTTGATGCTTTTGGACTGATAGGGTCGACGAAATCCATCCCCCACATGGTGAACGGCCACGATGATACCATATAATGAAGTTCATTAGGTGGTGCACTAACTTGGTTTGCGTGTATTTGGTATTTATGACAATGCCTGACGAAATCATAACAGTCCTTTTCCATGGAAAGCCAGTAATATCCCGTACGGATGATTTTTCTAGTAAGCAAATGCCCATTCATGTGTGGACCACAAACTCCTTCGTAAACTTCAGCTATGATCTCTTTTGCTTCTCCGGCATCTACACATCGATCTGGTGTTTTCTTATAGAGCGTATTTCCACTAACAAAATACTGTAAGGCCATTTTGCGAATGGTCTTCTTATTCTCGGTCGTGATTCCCTAAGGATAAACTTGTTTCTCCAAAAATTGTTTTATGTCGTGATACCATGGTTTGGCATCTAGTTCTTCCTCCAATGCCATGTAATGGGCCGGTCGTTAACTGACTCCAATTTTAGTGGGAGGAAGATCTTCCTTATCGAGGATTATTATCATTGATGAGAGTGTAGCTAATGCATCAGCGAAATGATTGAGAGTACGAGAAATATGGTGAAACTTGATATATCTGAACTACCAGCAAAGTCCAATCAAATACCGATTATATGGAATCAATTTTGCGTTCTTGACCTGCCATTCACCAGTAATTTGATTAATTATGAGCTCCAAATCACTGAATACAATAAGTTTCTCGATAGCAATATCTAGTGCTGCCTGAAGGCCTATTATGTAAGCTTTATATTTTGCCATATTATTTGTACAGTAGAACTTTAATTTGGTGGCTATCGGATAATGCATCAAGTTGACATTAGAAACTATAATTGCTCCAATCCCAACCCCTTTTTTATTTACAGCCCCATCAAAATACATCTTCCACTTGACTTCCTGCTCAATCTCTTCTTCCTCCATGGCCAATAGGATAGCTTCATCTGGGAAATAAGTTTCTATTGGTCGATAGTCATCTGTAGGATTCTCAGCCAAATACTCTGCAATTGCCCCAGCTTTAACTAATTTCTGTGTGACATATACAATGTTAAATTCTATAAGCAACATTTGCCACCTCGAGATACATCCCGTCAATATAGGGTTTTCAAAGATGTACTTCAAAGGATTCATCTTTCCTATAAGAAATGTTGTAGTAGAAAGCATGTAATGCTGAAGCCTATGAGCAGTCCATGTTAGTGAATTTCTTATTGAGGTAATATATTGCTTGTTCTTTACGCCTAGCCTTATCATGTTGTCCTAAGATACAACCCATTGAAGCATTAAGCATTGAGAGATAGATTAATAGTGGTCTACCTAGTTCTGGAGGTATCAAAACTGGAAGATTGATTAGATAAGCCTTTATCTTATCAAAGGCCTCTTAACAAGCATCATCCCAAGATATGGGTTGGTTCTTCCTGAGAAGGCGGAATATTGGCTGACAAATAGTCATGAGTTGAGCTATGAAACGACTTATGAAGTTCATCTTTCCCAAAAAAGATCGAACCTCCTTTTGAGTCTTAGAGAGTGGCATATCAAGAATTGCCTTAATTTTGGAAGGGTCAATTTCAATGCCTCTATGGTTGACTATAAAACCCAAAAGTTTGCTTGAGGATACCCCAAAGATGCATTTTACTGGGTTGAGCTTCAATTGATACTTACGAAGTCGTCTAAATAATTTTCCCAGATTAATGAGGTGCTCTTCTTCGTAAACAGATTTAGCAATCATATCATCCACATATACCTCAATTTCCTTACGCATCATATCGTGGAAAAGGGTTGTTATAGCCCTTTGATACGTTGCCCCAACATTTTTGAGGCCAAATGGCATGACCTGATAACAAAAAGTGCCCTATTGTGTGACGAATGCAGTTTTCTCACGGTCTTCTTCGATGAGCTTTATTTGATTGTATCTCGAAAACCCATCCATGAAGGAGAACATGAAATGCTTTGCTGTGTTATCTACCAGTACATGAATGTGGGGAAGTGGAAAATCATCTTTCAGACTGGCTTTATTCAAATTGTGATAATCAATGCATATTCGAACTTTTCCATCTTTTTTGAGTACCGAGACTACATTAGCTAACCATTCCAGATAATTAGATATTACTAAGAAACTAGCTTCAAATTGTTTTGTGACCTCTTCCTTGATCTTAAGACTCCACTCGGGCTTGAGCCTTTGCAGTTTTTACTTGACTGGCTTTACATCAGGCTTAAGTGGTAGTTTATGTACAACAATGTTGGTGTTAAGCCCTGGCATATCCTAGTAAGACCATGCAAAAACATCCTGGTATGTAATAAAAAATTGGATCATCTCCTCACGTTACTTCTTAGTTAAGATCTTGCCAATTTTGGGTTGCTTCAGAAATTCTGCAGTTCCTACATCAATGGTTTCAGTATCTTCAATGTTTGGAGAGTTGGGTTTGGTATTTAATCATATCTATTAATCTTGTGGTGCATCATCAGAGTTATCTTGATCAAAACTCATTTGGTCTGGATCGTACTCAATGCCAAAGTCATAGGTATCAGACTCGAGGACAGAAACATCCATGAGATCACAACATTCCATATATGGTATCCGAAACTTCTTGAGTGTGAGGATTGGGACTGCTTCCCATTTGCTTGGCTTGGTGGTGGAAGTGGGTGGCTGTAGTGGAGTCGAATGAAGCATGGCTATGTGGTTGTCTGGCTCAAAAAGATCTCTGATATTCAAATTGGCGAATGCCTCTATCCAATCCGTGTTTGACATCGCCTTAGAGATGTCCTCAAACTTGCTTCCCCCTCTTATTGGAGTGATTGGTTCAGCAGGGTTGGCATGTAGCTGAGGTGGTTTGACAGGAGGCTTCTTCTTGAATGCAATGGTGTCCCAAACAATGGGTCCCCTCCTCCTCGAGGGTCTTGATTCATAGTGCTGCCTGAATGTGCTCCCCATCAATGGAATCCTACCAGATGATGCATTTTTCCCTTTCCTTTCCTGACGATCCTCCTTCATTGGGTGATACCCTAGGCCATGATGATATTGATTTGGCTTGATTCTAATAAGGTGAGGGTCACCTTGAGAATGTGCTCCTAGTCCTTGTCCGGGCTTGTATCCGCACTTCTTGAAGTATTGGGCCATCATGCGGGCACTTTTAGAGAATTGTGGTTGCGGTAGATAGCTTCCTTGAGATATGTGGGTAACCGTGGCAATTCGGGATGTCTGGTAACTAGATGAAGCATTAGCCTCTACCAGATCAACAGAGGCCATGTCTACCTTGAAGGTTTGACAAGAAGATGGCTTTGTCTTGATTTCAGAGTTTATAGCAAAACTTGGTGAAGAATGAACATCCAAACTATCCTCAGCATGAATAATAATTAATTGATTATCAATGATGAATTTGATTTTTTGGTGCAAACTCGAGGGGACTGCCCCTGTATTATGGATCCATGGTCTACCTAACAGGAGGTTGTATGCAGTTGGAATGTTAACCACCTAAAAATGGACGTCGAATGTTGTTGGCTCAATCACAATTAAAAGATCAATTTGCCCAAGTGACTCCCGTCGGGCTCCATCGAAAGCTCTTAACACTGTATTGCTAGGGCAAACATGTTTTTCCATCTCCATCCATTTAAGAGTACCGAGTGGACATATATTGAGAGCAGACCCATTGTCGATGAGTACCCTTCCTACTAATAGATCTTTGAATTCTACAGTGATATGGAGAGCTTGGGTATGTTGGGTTCCTTCAGGAGGTAGCTCTTTATCAGTGAAAGTTATGGCATTGTAGGCTAATACATGGCCTACTATTTCTTCTACCTGCTTGATTGTGACACTGCTTGGAACATGGGCTTTATGAAGCACTTTCAACACAGCCTCTCTGTGTGTTCCCAAAGTAAGGAGAAGTTGCAATAAGGAGATTTGACTCGACACCTTACTGAGGTGTTCCACTACATTGTACTCGCTCCTCTTTAGGATTCTGAGAAATTCAGCAATCTGTTGTTAAGTAATGGGTTACTTAACTTGGTCATCCACCTTATTGTTTCCTTTCTTTTGTTGTTCAAGCTCCGCGAGTGTGTAGCACCTACCCGATCTTGTAATCCCTCCAATCTCGGTAACAGCTTGATCTTCTAAAGCAATTTTTCTGCCGGATTCCGTTATCATCTCGACATCATAATTCCACGGTACTTGGCGGGTATCTTTGATAGGTAATTGTCTTGGGATTGTAATTGTGACGGATTCTAGGACAGGTAGAGAGAATGCTTTAGGAGCTGGCAATGTGGCCTTTTTGGAATGGCCAAATGTGGGTTCAGCAGGCAATAGTCTTGGAGCCAAAGTCAATAAAGGCCTAATTTTTTCTTTTGTGTCCGCCATATGGATACTAGTGTCTCGAGCTCTAGTGGCTTTGACACATACTACCTCTTTAGGCCTTCCAATGAATATGGTGGGATTGAAATCTAAGTCATCCAGGATAATCATATCTATGTCCTCTATGGAAACCATATTAGTGGAATGATCTGGTAACAAATTATTTGAAGTATTGGGCTCCCCAGTCTTCACCAAGTTAAGCATACCTGTTTTTATGAGATCTTGGATTTTATGTGTGAGAGAAAAACAGTTCTCAGTAGAGTGACCTGCCACCCCTTAGTGGTAGTCGCACTTCTAAAAGGGATCATGACCTTTTAAAGGGGGATTAAGAATGGGTCTTGTAGGAATTGGTGGAAGCAAATCTTTCAGAGAGGCTAGAGCTTCAGTGTAGGTGCAACCTATTGGGGTAAAAACTCGATTCCGCCTATCAAGTTGCCTTTTTTCTGTATTTTCCCTCGAGGTGGTGAAAAATTGAGGTTTTGAAGTTAGCACGAATTTCCTGCCAGGGAGGATTGCAAAGACTTCCGCCTCTTTCTTTTATAGCTTCTTCAGGATAATATGAAGAACACTAGAAGATGAAGTTTTTTCTCTTGCCTCTGCGATTTTGCTATCTCTGATACCATCATTTATATTTTCCCTTTGGATGATAAGCTCGGAGAAGCTGACTCCCGTGCATGTGCATAATTTCTCGTAGTATGGCTTCTTTAGAGTACGTATGAAGGTACTAACCATTTCCCTTTCTGACAAAGGAGGTGATCGACGAATCGGTTACAATTATAAATTAACCCTTTTGCAATAGCACAAATCATTGTAAAATAGGGCTATTGGTCGGGTAAGTCGAACCACTGGGACTGCTAGTTTTTAGCAACTAAAGTGTCTAGAATCATTTTTAGAATGATGATGGGGTATAGAGGTTTGTGAGAGTTGTCACTAAAATTATGAATTGAAAAATGCATAAAACAGTAATGCTAAGAAGTAGAGAGGCAAAGACAATTACAAAGGGACTAGGGAAGTGAATCCGCACTAAACCCTGAACACATGTTAGATCAAGACTACATTGGGAATAGACAATATATATATAATGGTCAAGAATTATACAACAACACATGGTTGCCTTATAATCATCAAGAAGTTCATTAAATCAAAACAAGAATGATCCATCAAAAGTTTACACATTTGAACTACCTAAACTAGGGTGTAGCATCAAACACACTATCTTAAGCAAAAGATCATCAAGCCTTTAATCAAATGATAAAGCACATGAAGTTAAGAATCAAGTATAAACCATCAAAGGGAATACCTAAGCAATGGACTATCAAGTTTCTCTATCAACATGCCATGAAAACCATTCATAATCTTATTTCCATTGTCACCATGAAAATACAAGCATTATGATTAATATAAGAACCATCTAAGACAAGATAATTAACTCACATCAATCATTTATAAACATTAGAATTCATTACAAGAAGTAATATGCTCTAGATTATGAAAAGACCAAAATTTATACATTATTATCCCCAAAATAGAGCTTAATCTAGTACATGATTACAAGGGGAGGCTTTATCACCTCCCTAGATGGAGGTTTAGTTACCCATTACTGCAAAGAATGAAGAGGATGAAGAAGAATGACTCTCCATTGTTGCACCTTGAGCTCCAAGACACCCAAAACCTCTTAACCCTCTTTCTCTCTGTAGAACTTTTTAAGAATGAGATATATCTTTTTAATTAAGCCTTCCCTCCTCTATCTACCCAAAATCAACTCTCCATCCACTCCATCATGAGTTCCAACCACCCTAGAGCAATTAGAACCACAGAAAAATGCATAGGAGACAAGAATCAGCTTGAATTCAGGAGCAGGTGACCTGCTATCTGCATATTGGTGGGCGCCCACGGGTGTTTGGCATCTGGGAGGAGCTCTCTGGACAAAATGGAGGGAGCCCTCAGAGGCTCAGCGGGGGCCCGGGAGGCTTGCGAGGCCCCATGAAGGAAGGCTGGCCACTGGGGTATTTAGCGGGCGCCCGCGGCGGAGCTGCGGGCTCTCGCGGAGGCCTGTGTTCAAAACATGCACCCTTCTCTTTGGCCACTTTGGATTGGCCTGACAACACAATCGTCATTCTGAATATGATGCTGCAAGACTCACATGCATGAGGACTACAGTAACTTGGCCCAAAAGACGGTCCCTAGCAACGGCGCGCTTTGATTCTTCAAAAGATTGACAAAACCACTTCTTTAACCATAGATGGGGAAACCGACCTGAAAGAAGACGGAAATAAACAAATAAAGCTAATATGTACTGATCGGTATGACAAATATACATCAACCTTTGCAATAGCATAAATCATTGTAAAATAGGGTTATTGGTCGGGTAAGTCAAACCACTGGGACTGTTAGTTTATAGCAACCTAAGTGTCTAG